TAAAGATGTTGCTTAAATAATTATTACAGCTTTTACAAAGTCCAAGTATCAAATTTAGTGAACAAAGGTATTAAACCAGCAACACCAAATCAGGTGTTTACTGAATGATCAAGCAAGTATGTACAGCTATATTTTACAAGGAAAAAAAAAAAAAAAAAAATCAAGCTTACTAAATGTGTCTTTTATTAATCACAACAACCAGTAATCTTTTTGTTTTACTGCTGTACATTGTGATATTAACCAACAAAAGAAAAAGTATTAAGAGTTTCTCCTTCAGAAAAAAAAAATGAATGAAAAATTGAACACGTTGCTCTTAATGTATGTATTACAGACAAACACAGCATTGCTGAACAACAGTTACAAGCTCTTGCTTTGCTGAAGAACACCTAAGGTAGGGTTAAAAGAACATGTACCTGTATGCAAATCTATGAACTTTCTGTATTTCCCACTAAAGGGAGAATGTTAAAAAATGAACTACCAATATTTAGCACTGGGGTACTCAGCAGGCAGAGAGCAGGTATTAGATCTGTAGGAACTTGCCTGCCTAGGGAAAATATAGTGATATATCTCTTTCTATATATATCAATATCTTACATATTGGCAAATTAGACTCTGCCATCAATCTGTTGGCTAGTTGTCAAAGAATAATTTATTTTATTTAAGGATATAAGGCATGGGTTTCTAGATATTCCATAAATAAAAAATAAATTTTGCCAAGCAGGAACAGCAATTGGTATTCCCCTAACCTGTGTCCTGGTCCTCCTCGATACCTTGCCCCTGGGATCAGAACAGGATCATCATCACTATCATCAGTTTCTTGGAGAGCTGAGGTCCTAGTAGAGGACTCGTCTGGAGGTGCAAGCCCTGAGGATTCTGGGTGTGGCTGAGGTTCATTGTTTACAGCAAGTGAGTTGGCAGTGGATTCAATACTTTGACTTGACATTTCTTGATTCACACTTTTTTCACAGGAGGCTGCTTCCTCTACATTTCCAGAGACATCATCAACACTGGGGTCATTTTCTTCTGGATGGATTCCAGAATGCTCAGGACCAGGTTTATCTGATACAGCTAACAGAAAATATTGGGGAAAATAAGTCATACCATTAATGATTCTAACTTATTTCAGAAGACATTATAAATGATCACAGAAGTTAAATTATGCATATAGAGATTATACTGAAAATTTAGTTTTTCATTCTCTACTTCTTCATGTAACTATACTTGAAAGAGTACAGATACATACATGCTTCTGTCATCTCTACAGTTTCATCTGTAGTTTTCGGTTCTTCAGCACTTGCGTCTTCCTTGGGAGATGCATCAGGAACTCCTAAATTAAACAACTTTATAGTAAATCACAATTTCATTTAGATGCACATCTATAACATAAGCAAATCTAAATGATACTAGCACTCCTAGATACTAGATACTAGGACTAGGTACTAGACTCCTAGATCAATTCTTTCCGAAGTCCATGTATTATTTTACTGTAATCCCAGATATCAATCTGATACTAATAAAAGTCAGTGTATAGATATAAATTGATCTAGTTGCCCAGGTGAATATACTAACAAAGAAAAAGAAGTATTTATTTTTTTGTCCTTAATATCTTAATATCTTATGCTATGAGAACTTTAGCTGCAAAAAAAAAGCTTTAATAATGTTGAAGCAGCTGATTGCTTACTGAAAACTATTATTTCTGAAGACAGAAATTGAGTTATCCCTTTATTGAAAGGGATTTAAGAAGACAAAGATTTTGCCGGAACCAGTCATTTGCCTTTTGGCAATAAATTGAGCAAGACAACCATGTGTGACAAAATACTGTGAAAGCTTGAAAGAAATGTAACAAAATACCTAGTATTCATTTATGACCTCAAAATGCAGTTTTCTATTTTTCTATACAAACTGGGGCAGCGTACATCTTTAAGAAAAAAGAACAAGGGTTTTAGAACTGAAGAGAGGACAAGTTTATTTTCTTTATATTTATTTGCAACTATTTCAGATTGGTACCTTTTTCTTTCCTAAAAAATTTCATGTTCTATTATGGCTGTATTCTGCCTTCATATGCATGTATATGAGAAATCCATTTTGCTCAATGGTAGTCAGGGACATACAAAAGCCGAATTTTTACCTTAGCATTACAGAAATAATGCTGTATCTTACTTGTTTCTTCATCTTCAGGCCCCGATTCTTCTGCAGCTTTTGTTTTTACAGAGTCATCTTGGCCTTCAATTTTGCAATGACTTCCACTTCCTCTAGAGCTTGAATTTGTGCTGCTCCTGGCAACATAACATGTAAAAAATAAAAATGAAATTTAGAAAGAATATAAATAGATGAGATCTTTACAGTAGCACAGCCTACCCATCATCACCATTCTCACTGAAACCTCACAATTCAATAGCTCCTGGCAGCAACTACAACTAACAACCTTCACAGCAAAATCAAAATTTTCTTTTATTATGTCCATCACTGCTCACCCCATATTCCTCTGCATCACAGAACCTTTAAAGGATTTGTTCATTGCTTTTCAAAATATTGTTAGAACTTAGAAGGATTTACACTATTTACACTTTTTTTTACAAGCATAAGTGTTCAAAGAACTAAAGTCATTACAACTGTCGCTGAGCACTAATGCATAATCTTAACCAACCCAATTTAAAATCTGATTCAGATAAAATTCTCTAGGTATATTCATTCCTGTATGTTTTGAGGCATTTTAATTTTTACTTCAGTGTTATTTTTCACACTAGCGGTTATGTGAAAAAGATGGTTTTGAGAGAGCCAAATAACATCTTGCGCTTTTGTTGCATTAAGCCCTACAGTCTGATTCCATAGCAGGTTTTCTGTTTCCCCAGTTCCCTTCATAACCCTTCGTTAAATCCCTGCCAATTTGAATCAGTTTTCTTGAAAGCACGACAAAGTTTGCACACAGCATTCTAAGTCACAAAGCAAAGCAGAGTTGAGCGGCAGCACCAGCAATTCTCATTCTTTGCTGAGGTTTCCCAGCTGGTAACATCTAGGATCATACCTGCCCTTCGAGTAGCTGCATTATATTGAGAATGAAGTGACTGGTAGGTCCATGTCTTTCTGCATTTAATTTTCACAACACCTAAATTTCAGAGCAGATTTTTGATGTTTGTCCTCAACTGCATCATTTTGTTATATGGAACTCCATCCTACTTAATTATTGTATTCTTTGGAACAATATTTTTAGTTAGCCTCTGAACTGACAATGCCATGCAACTCTGTTCCACTACAGAATGCTCCTTCCTCTCACTACCCACATTAGACTACCCACTACAAAAGCTCCATTAATTTAGTTTACCACTACGTTCAGTTTCTTTATTGATCTATCACCACCCTGAATAGAAGTTCATAATGCAGGAAAGTATCAAATACTTTATGGAAATTCAGACAGTTTTTCTCTATTACACCATGTACATTTCTATAACCCATTATTCTGTCAAATAAGAGGTACTGAATTACGTGCATTCTACTTCCCCAATTTTAATCTATTTCCCATGTTCTGCTTATTTTAATACACTTTTCTGTCCTAAAGCCTTGAATATTGCTACCATTAGTCTGAAAAGATCATGATGTTTATTCCTTCATTCTCCTTTGATAGTATATTTGATGCTTGTCATTCACATGGTGCTACCCTTTGGCCCAAGAGATTTGGTAGAATACCTGCTATTAGACTGAATATATATGTCAAGTTAAGTTTTAGTAGTTTTCACTACTAGTAGTATTTACTTCCACAATTACAGATTTTTGTAACAGGTAATTTTCCTGTCCCTAATCTACATTTCCTGTTCACCCTATTTTTTCTTAATATTGTTTCTGAGGCAGCTGTTCATGCACATTTACCATCTTCAGCATCACTTATGTCATTAACTGTTTAAAGTGTAAAATGCAATTTTCAAATTTTGTTCTAAAATAAACACAGAAACAAAGTGTCAATGTTTAATAATATTTGTTTTCTGTGATACAGTGGTAGTAATATTTTATTATTACATTAAAAAGCCCAACTAGAACAAATAAGCAAAACATTTGCAAAATTCCGTCAAAGCTTGATTTGGTCTCTAAACAGAAAAAGAGTCTGATAAACTGGTTGAACATAACTGTTGTAGTATTTCAGATATGAAAACATACAGAGCCCTGTTTAAAGCTTCCAAACTGCTATGGGCAAGGTGTATGTTTTATGTCTACAGCCACAGAACTTTAAAGTAACTAAATCTGGTGGGTTTGGTTGGTTTTTGTGTGTTTTGTTTTTTTTTTTCTCCAGCCATGTAACAAATGCAGCAAGCATTTCTACTCACTATCTTCTACAATAATTTTGAAAACATAAGCAAAGAAATAGAAATAAGAGGAGAGAAAATAAAGATTGTGCTTGTTTTGGGAGATCCTGAGATGCTCTAGTCATAGACTTTGATATAAAACCAAGTCAGTCAGGCCAGTTAGCCCCAGGACCACCTTTCCATCACTGTACTACCCTACTAAGATAGTGAACACTGATTTTATGCCAGAGTATGATGAAGATAACATGTTTCAAATTAAAAAGATTCACAGTATCACAAAAAAAAAGCCACCCTTTTGCATGAAGGTTTAATGTTAAAGTATGTTCTTTATGTTCTGAATGTATTAACAACTAAAGCCATTTCAAATTGTCTATATACACCTAAAAATATAGATATACCATATGGAAAAATATCTGTATCTAAGACAGACAACTGTTAGTGATATGTGCTGATAAATAACCAATCAGAACCAAAATTAACTTCTTACCACTCATCAGTGAAGTCCAGCTTTATCGTGCTTGTAGTTGTTCCTTCTGTACTATAGTGCAAACTTAAAACTGGTTCACCCGCTCCTGTTCGTGGCTTATCACTCTCTGTAAATACAGAGTTGATAAAGTTTGGATTGCAATCAGTAATATAAATAAAGCTGTTATAATTCTGAAGATTCATTTAATTATCTTAACAAAGGCCAAATGTGGTAGTAACATGTAGTATATCAATTTAAGAGCTCTTACAGCCCAAGCAAAATGTTAAAAAGTTTCAGAGTAAACACATTAAATTTGCAATGCTTTAAAAATGGTCTAAAATGATTTGTATTTATAAGAGCAAACAAAGAAGATGCTGGTAAACATGCAGGTAAATAAAATTGCAGATAGATATTTTTACACACAATATTATCCTTTATCAGCAGATCCCTTTTCTATCAAGTATATTAAGAATGTAAGTGTTTTTGGAAGTGGTATTCAGTCTTTTTTTCTCATTAAATACATATATAAGATTATGAGATCTAGACATAATCAGTCTAGAAAAATCACTACCCTCTTTTTTTTTCCTTCTTACAAACTAGTCAACTACAAGTATCTTTAGATCTGCTTTAAATTGTCAGCTATTTGTCATAAAACCACTGTAAATTCATGTTCTGAGAGCTTTGGGTTTAAAAAACCTTTCGTATTATAGCAACTGTAAGTAGAAAAGGAGTATTTGCAAAATGAACTATCCACGACATCCAAAAGCAACAGAAGTGAATAAAATAGAAAACCACTGCAAGTCTCCCAAGCTTCTGCTGCATATATAGTTTTAAGGATGTTCAGTGGTCTACTTCAGAACAGAACTGTTCAATGATACCTATCCATGCACCACCCTTGAATAGAATGAATCACCACAGCCTATCTATATGCATGGCATAGTTGCCATTAATACTGAAGATGGCCTTGGGCAATACTAAATAGTTAATGGAAAGTACCACCTGGTTAAGCCTCACTACAGAGGTGCCATTCTCTCAGAACTCAGGAGAGTTTTCTTAGTATTAGGCATCACTCAAATGACTGCTAATTAGACTATGTAGTCTCACTTGTCATGAATGCTGAACCTTTTACCTCAGGACTGTTTGGGCAAAAGCATACCATATTTTCTGTCATTTACAGAGTACAGAAATTTGACTACAAGTATACCTGCAGTACTGATAGCACACAGACACTTAGAATACAGAAAAAGCTTTAGATCATCTTTGGGAAATATCAATTAAAATCTAACATTTAAGCACAAGCCTACTAATTCCCCCACTTATTAAAACAGTAATGGCTATGATACTACCATAGAATATTTATTTTTAAAAATACAATTAAATTACAGGATTTATGAAACAGAACATAAGCATTTAACCAAACAATCAATGCTCATATTTTTAAATTGCTGACAGGCAGAAGCCTGCTCAGAAGATGAGAGCAGTGATCGGCTGCACCAAAGAACTTTAAATATTTATTTCTACATATTCTGAAGAGGAATCAAATCAAAACAAAACCAAACCAAAACACAAAAACCATACAAAAAAATAAAATAATTTTATGTGGATGAGGATTAACCAATTACAACCATGACCCTAATTATACATAGGGCATAGACCTCATTCTATGCAACAACAAGATCATAGACTCTCTAAAATAAAGTTTCCAGTTCTACTTGTTTTAAGAGTAGAGCAAAAAAAAAAAACAAAACAAAACTGATCAAAAGCAAGTTTTCCATTTCCTGAAATACACTGAGAAAGAAAAGAAACAAATGTCAGGAAATATTCTAGTGGCACATGCAGATATTTCTGGAAAAAAAATTACATGCTCTTTCTCAACTAAACAGGTGCTTTCTCTATTTTTTGGCAATCTATCCATGAACATCTTTTAGTATAAACTTCTGTTCAAACTTTGAGCATCCCTTCCTAAGCAAATACTGATCACTCAAACATACCGCACAAGTTATCAGGAGCTGGACACTGAAAGAGTAAAAAATAACATAGCTGACTTTTCCTTTCTTTCAATACGCACTGAGAAAACATATCTTTGAATTGGGAACCCAGGCAGGTAAAGAAAAGCAACTTCCTGAATTGTCCAAGACAGCCACCAAACAATGACTACACTGTAACTTGATACTGCTATGCAACACTTGCTCCAGCACAAAACTAGTTAATATTACTGACCAAAGTACCTAAAAATCACTGCCCTGTAATGAAGCTAATTGACTATTAGGCTTGTGTTATAAAGCTCAGATCACATTATCGTAACAGTGCTTTCCTGTCTTAAAATCTTAACATGACTGTCCTCTACACTTACTGTAGAAGGAGTGCTCGTACTTATTCACACTCAAAAAGTCAGAAGAATTGGTGTAAGCAAATTTAAGCAAAGAGGACATGGACTGAGAAATTATTTTTACAAATTTCTGGAAATAGTTGTTAAACTATATTGTGTAATAACTATCTACAATAACGTGAGATACAATTTGGATTGGGTCAGTTTCTTCTTTTAACTAGCTTTTAGTGCACAAAATCAAATACTAGTAAGAACAAAAAACTTTTAAGAAGACAGATGAGACAAGAATCTGATAATAAACCACAACAGAATTAGTTGTGTAGCTCAGCATTTTATATTAATACTGCTAATGAAAGCTGAATGGAATCCTCTGTGAAGAAATCTAGTAAGCTTTGCCTACATAATTGAACAATCTTTTAGAGAAATAACATAAAATCCAGAAGTCCTGAACTCTGTTTTCAAGAACAGAGTTATTGCCAAAGACTGACTAGATCATAATGAAACAGGGTCCTCTTTCACTACTAGTTTCACCCCATCAGGCCAGATCTACTTCACATTGATAAAAAAAGAATGAAGGGTAGAAGAGGAAAAGTTGTACAGCTTCTGTGATGTAGAGAGAGCTATTGCCAAAACCATTGATCTGATTGCAAACTCCAGTAAGGTAAGAATTGTTCCAAGAGAAAGTGGTAGCCTGTCAATGCCTTACTGAACTCTATTAGAAATTCCTCAAAAATACCCTGAAAATTTAATGTGTTTGGCTGTAAAATCTAAATAAAGATACTATCAACAACTTGTATTCTTATTTCATAAGCAACCCTGTTCTAGAACAGACACTCCCAAGAACAGTCTGTTCTCTAGGTACCTACAGAAGGAAAGAATTTTTAATCTACCACCCTTAAAACTGAAGACAAAATTTCATTCATAACCTTATTAAAAACAAACACGAAACAAAAAAAAAAACACAACCAGCAAACCCCACTCATACACACGGAAAGGAATACCTCGCATACACACATTTTCCCCTTAGAAAATGAATTTACGTAAGTGTAACTTCACAAAGATTGAGTCTCTTAACTGCAAAGTGGTAAGTGCATAAAGCCAGTTTAACTAGGTAATGCAATCTGTAAACCTAACATTGTAAGGAACTTTAAGCTCATTTCCCACGTCTCAAATGCTGCCCTATGCACTTCTGTATTTGCAAACCCACAAGAAGGGAATGGACAACTTTTCACAAAAAACTTCCCAAATAATTCCTATCCAGCACTAACCATGATCTCATGAGAAAATCAACTTTGTACATTCTGAAGATAAGGTTATGTTCTTGGTGAAAACAAGACAGTTACTTCTGAGGGAAGAAAAACTGATCCAAAGAGGAGAAAATAAGCAATGTATTTCAGAAATTAGGAATTCTCTGGGAAGGCTTAGCACATGAAAATTCATCAGAAGCAGCTCAACTCGAAGGAGAGGGTGGAGATCCTTCTGTCTAGCGAGGAATAATGACTGAACAATGTCACACAGATACGAGTCAGTATAAGGCACAATGACTAAGGGAAGACCAAAAATCAAATAATTGGATGGACCAACCTAACCTATAGCCCAAGGCATACACTCACTTTGTCTAGATGACTCCTACAATAATCTGATGCAGTACTGCACTTCACTGAAGAAGGCAGCAGTACAGACCATGCTGTGAACTGCACAAACCACAAGTCTGAAATTCTTGAGCTTGTACCTGCAGAGCTCACTATAGGTCTGGAAAGCTCTATATGCAGATCAACACTCAACCAGTTTATCTGACTGGGATGCAGAGCTAAGTAGCTGGGACACAGTGTGCCAATACAGTTCCCAGGACTTACAGTACTGCTCATGAGGAACCAACTCTGCCACATCTGACAAACCAGCTTGTTCTGAGCCAGATCAAGTATCTATAATGTGGCACTGAACAGTCTGGTATGGACACTGCCATAACGAATTACCAAACCCCCGTACTAACTTGGAAATACCTAGAAATATATCAGTAATCAGTATGGCTTCTATGTATGTAGGAAGAAGCATTACACTGGTGTGGGATGCACACACACATTTGAACTTCAAAGTTACTGAGCTAGCTCTCTGGCTTCAGATTTCCTCCTTAATCATAATTCAGGCATAACCTTACAGTCATAACACTGCCTTCACACAGCAACAAATCTAAAAGCTAACCTTCTGTTATTACAAGCACAATAAAAATAACAAGTGTAGAGCACAGTAATCCACTTGAAATAATTTTGTCAGGATAGGAAGGACTTACAGCTTCTGCTGGACTGTCACAATAATGGTATTATAAATTTATATCCATGTGGTAAATATCAAAAACTCTTTAAACCCATAAACAATCTTAAAATGCAGATGCCAATAAAAGAGACTGGTCCAACAGAAGACAGCTGATTCAGTACCAAATTAAGGAAAGACAGGAATTAGAAATAAGAAGCACTTATATATAAAAAGAACTGATAGGACTTCCTTCATTAACTACAACTGGTATTATTTCCTTCATTAGCTACTTACACTTTTTTTGAAATTTCTATTCAAATATGTATTGAAATTAATGCAGTTTAAATTAAAAAATCCAACTTGATTAAATCCAACAGCAAATTACTCCTCTGGTTATTACTTAATTCATAACTTCATGGAACAGTTTATCAGTTTTCCAATTTCTCTGCAGTGGTAAGAACTTCAGTAAACATACAGACTTTCTGTGCTAATTTTTGTTTCTTCTACTCTCGTCAAATAATACTTTATTCTGAGTTAAGAACAAAGAGTATAACTTGGCCACTAATTATAATCAAGTTTTCTAGCTATACCTGGCTATTAGAGTGATGTAGACTACTGAACCATGTATAATTGGCAAATTTGTACACTGATATTTAAGGGTATTTCATCACAAAATGTAATCCCATAAAATTAATATATTTTGTCAATATAAAACACAACTTGTTTTTTTTTCCTAATGGTCTGGCATCTTAAAATAAATAATAATCTCAACAGTTGCTGAACAATTTTTCAGAAATGGGATTTCAAAGCAGCATTCTAGTTTAGAATGTGAAACACGATGAAACAGCCAGCTCCTTTGTGGGATTTGATCTATTAAATCTCTACAAAGACTACTTATGGAAGTAAGCATAATGCAGAATGTATGGAAATCTATTTTTAAATTACCATCTATCACTCATTAATTATTCAAGCATAAATATTCACTACAGATGACATTGGTTCAGCTGGTATAGGGTCACCTATGGCGCACTTCACTGTTTACAATTTGGAGACTGATGAATAATGGGCAAAGAGAGACCTCACAAGCATTCTTTCTACTACCGGCCTATAGGGTATCTACAGAGAAACACTAATACTTATTTAGCATAAGGGATGTTGGACAACAGGTTACAGAGGTAAGATGCACCTAAGACCAATAGGCGCTCTTGACTTAAACTGTATACAGGTATAACAAAGCTGCACATATCTCTTGCATAAGATAAATTAATCTGGCATTATATGATTTAAGGTGACTTCAGTCTTAATATTTGCACTTTGATCCAAGAACAGCCATTCAGAAAAAAGACTGTTTAAAGAATTCATTTTACTTTGCATTTTGAAAAAAATATTCTAAATGTCAGTAGAGTACACAAGACACAGTACCTCCACTGAACGCATTAACAATAAGATGGCTTTTGAAAACAATTAACCTTACTCTGTTACTCATATTGGGAATTAAATAATTTATGAGTGTCCAGCAGATCTGCTTATAGAATTCTATTTTATGTAGATGAACAGCATTTTTACACTGTTTATCATCATGAAAGGCAATTTTAAAAGGAAGCATTGCAATCAACTATGGCTGGGTATAGTGCATTTCCTGTCACACGCACCCTGTTGCTCATGAAGTGACATGGATCCAAGCTGTTTGTTAACCACAGAAGAAGGAGAATCTGAAACAAAAACGAGATTTCAACTTAAAATATAAGCAGCAGAGAACTGCAGAGCAATGTCATGATCATATGTTAGTTTAAAATATATAAAAAGCAGCAATACAAGGAAGCTTTGGGTTTGTTTTATGAGCAGCCAGCCATATTGCACTTTCTAGGCGTGACAGAAGCAAAGCCACTTGTGTCAAATAATTATGTATTACTTTAGGTAGTTATTCAAAAGCTTGAAGCTTGCTGAAATGTCAGTAATAAAAATGCCTGTCCGTTACCAAAGATTTTACTACATCGTTCAAATTTCTAACATGTCAGGAAAAACCCTGAAGAGTCATGACTCCTAAAGCCTTTGCTCTAACTACCAAATGACACTAGTATTTCAAACCATGTGCTAAACGTATATTTCAGAATATTTATACTTCAACATGAATTACTCAATATGTAAACCTATAAGCATAAAATGAAAGAGATGAGACTATTTATAGATATAACAGCATACAGACTGTTTGATAATTCTACATTCCTAGATGATATACCTCTGTAGCATCTGAGAAGATGTTTTCATGAGTTTATCACAGTACTAAACCAGTCTTATGAAAATCATAATCACCAGGGGAAAAAAAAAAACAAACAACCCAAAAAACCCCCAAACAACAACAAAATAAAACTAAACCCCCAGCAGTCAGTGCATTTTTTTTGTACTGGACATTACCAGCTAATAACTATCACCAGCACTGCATTCATTGTACAGATAAATGATAGGCTCAATGTTCAACATCTTCTGTGCACCTATTTCCCTTGTCACCTCTGAAGACGAGATAATACAGAAGTCAGATCTCAAAATAAGCTGATGCACATAAATTAATGCAGTATTTCAAAGATACTGTCTAGGCTACATATCTTGCTTCATTTGTTAATCTTCTGTTATAAACAAATACAAGCTAAACTAAAAGGATTCAATATTTTGTATTATAAACTGAGTCATACTTGCCACTATCACAGCACACTGAAGGAATTTGAACATAAATTTAAATTTACACAATGAAAGTAATTAAATAATAACACACTCTCTCCTACAGGAAGCTCACTTCCAGGTTTGGGCCAGGATCATCAGCGTGACCTATTATGTAGTATAGCCATAAAAACTGCTAAACTGACAAAGCTGATTTAGATGATCTCCAGAGGTCCCTTCCAACCCTAATGATTCTGCGATCCTATGACTTGTAACAATATATTTCACTTTCCAAAACTGAAGAGTGGTTTTCATATAATTTCTAATTTAGAAATGAAGTATTTACACTGGATTTTTTTCAGTGGAGTAGTAAACCACTTTTTAGCATGTAAACTAGAGCAAAACACTAGTGTAAAAATGCACCACGTCATTATCAACTTGTATTCCAGCTGACTCAGCACAGGAACTGGTATGCCTATCGCAAAGGCCAGCTGGCTTTGATCGCTGACTCAGAGTTATGAAACCTGTGATTGGGATTAACTTGTATCGAAAGTGCTAAAGGGAGGGGAGGTCTTGGACAGCAAGCTGAGAAACACTGCAGAAGACAGCGATTCTCAGTCGCACTCTCTTCTTGCAATTCAATTCTTTCTATAAACCTATATGTCCTTTCTAAAAAAGTGTATCATGCCACCAAACATTTTATTTGGCTGGAAAACCTAATTGCATCAGCTCTTTAATTCAGACCAAGATGAACAGAAGAAATATGACTGAACTAACATACTTTAATTAAAAATTTAAGAAATTACGTTTACTACCCTTATCAGCACTTCTAAATTTTATTAAGACTTAACATTATACAACAGTAAGTAAAATGGAAGTGTGTTTTACCATGTTTATCATACCATTACAGTAAGCAAAAATGAAAAATTTTCCAGGTAGCAGTCCATGCCAATGTAAGCTTAAACTTCCCACACTTCACTATTATTTTGATGTCTTCTTACACCTTTGTGAATGCATTTCACTTGTAATATGAGAAATTTTAAATAACATATTCCAGTTAACATGGTTAAGAGCTCAGTTTGTAGAAACTGTAAACTCAATTTTTTTCCTTTTTCAAGTGATCTGAAGCCACAGATCACCAGCACCCCTTGAAGTGGCACTGCAGTTTAGAACCCCACACCTCAGACGGGGAAATAAACATGAGCAGGAAACCAGCCTAGAGAAGTTCAGGTAAATGCCTCTTTTTTTAATATATGGCTTTGTTTTGTAAAAATTCTGAAAATGTACTTTCATCATTTCTGATAAAGCTTTTGAAAAAAGTATTACCAAAACTGTGCCATATAGTTAAAAAAACAAACAAAAATCCAAACTCTTACCTGAGCCTTCATAGGCTGGGTCTACATCCCAATGCAGCTCACCACTGGTTGTAATGTCACCAGTACATTCTAAACTGGAACACCACTTAAAGAGGGAACTGGAGATTCAAAAATTTGGGGAACCTCAAACAGAAAATAGAAGATAATTTTAACAACAGTTACATGCTGAGGGATCTTCCTATAGTGTGGGCAATAAGCATCTGACTTCATCAAAATGCTAGCATGCCACCTCTACTGTTTCGGTTAAAAATCCACCTACCTACTTATATAACACCAGCACCAGCGTGACAGTCAGGTCTGAAGCAGTGAGACCCAGTTTTATAGTCCTAAACATGGTACATACAGTGTACCTTAATCTAAGAAATGAAACACTTGTTTTAATAACTAGGAATAATTGCTTTGCAAAGTGAATGAGTTCTTGGGTAGGTATTCTGGACTTCAAATAGACACAGTTCTATATCTGGGTGTTTCCAAAGAATGCAAAGAATCTAGTAATAAGAAATGCAGTAATTCCCTTGTTCTTTGCAGAAAGCTTTAAGACAGAAATTAAGGTCCAACTTGTTCCACTGAAAGACACTGACTGCGTAGTTAGGCCAATGTGCATCACAGGTTCTGCAATATACTAGCATGCACAGGTATGTATCTTGATACCACAATAAATGCAATCTAAATCAAATTAATTTTTCCTCAAAGAATAAAGGTTCACATTACTTCATGTTTTTGTGGGCGAGATTACGTAATTAGGTAATTGTAATGCACATACAGCATATCAGCACTGGGCAGAGCAGCAATAACAATAGGTTGAAAAGTTCCACCTTAATTGTAGCTTGCATATAACACTCATTGTTTTATACTGCCTGTGATCTGAATGGTATGAAATGCCACAAAAATATAAGTCAAAACTAGTCTTTGTTGGAGAAAGTATATAATAATAAAAATAAGCCAAACAAAACCTTACCATAGTTCCCTAATTAAATTGTCTAAGACACAAAAAGCTGAATCTGTTCAATATCTAAGCAAAGGCTTGAAGACTATGAGACCTGATACATACAGCATATACTGCTTCTAAAATTCAACCAAATTTACACAATACTTAAGAGGTATCCACTAAAACAAACTCTTTTTGTCACATGAGTATGAAATATCTTTTTCATCAGTCACATCAGCCCACTGTGAATCATTCTCAGTTAATGCATTTTTACATTCAAGAACAAACTTTTGACCATATTTTTCTAAATAGTGATGATTAACTATTACAGAAACAGCTTACAAATCCTCATGTAACTATTAAAAGTCCTTACTTAGACTAGGAGACAGAATAACTACCACATAGCCTAATTTTCTATTAAACCTGTAAAATCTTTCAGCTCTTGACATTCTCTACCAGTAATTTCTTACATGGCTGAAGTATTTTTTTCTCCAGCCTGTGTCCAAAGCTATAACTGAGCTTCTGTGATTGCAAAGATAAGGATTAAGAATGAAGTGGCCTTAGTCTCACACTGAATTCCCCCCAGAATTGCAAGTATAAATTATACAAGTTTTACCGAAGCAGGGATTGAGAACCTGCAGCCCTGGTCCAGAGGCACTGATGCCATTTCACATACTGGCAGACACATTTTGGGGTATAATTTTTGTTTGAAAATTCACAACTAGTATGTACTTGAAAACTAAACATCTGCCTCAAGACAGAGCAAAGACAAACCCTGCAGGGGAAGAAAAAAAAAAAGAAGAAAAAAAGAGATATTGTCTCTTTTTTAATTTATTATTTATTTATTATTTATTATTTAAAATTATTATTAAAAAAAAAAAAAACAAAACCAAAAAACCCAAACAAACAAAGAACTTCTTCCTTCTACCACATTTCTGAAAACACCAGCTTAGCACAGGGTTGGAAAACAGCTGCCTCTATGGAGAAGAAAGAGATCAAAATTTTGCAGCTCTGGTTGCAAAGAAACACACTGCAGACAAATATATTCCAAAAACGAGCCTTGGGAGCTCAGAAAAGAAACAAACCAAATCATCTGCATACAAAGAAATGAGTGAATACAAATAATATTTCCATGTCCAGAGTGCAGAAATCAAAAAAAGTTGTTTTGCTTGTTCTCCTCCTACAGGTAATATGGCTGCCATTCCTAAGATAAGCACAAAGCCCTCCAAGGATTTACTGGTTTCCAAACATTTTGAAAACTCACTGTAGAATTTGCTTGTGTAGGAAGTTATTCAAAACTTGGTAACTACATATTGTAATTACAGCACTAGCCACTCTTTCATCAAACTGTTCTGTAAGGCTCCAGATGGATTGAACCATAGCAAGTTAAGCTGTGAATGTATGACACAATCCTTGTAAGCAATGTAGCCACACTTCAACTGTCACAGAATTTATGTATAGAAGAAACATTGCTAGACATTATTTCTCAACACAAAATATGCTGATATTTCACAAAGCATGCAGCTCACTCATCTTTACATGCTGCCATGACAAAGTTCACTTCAAGTTTATGCTTTAGGGTTTACCTCTTTATTCACATGCATGCTTCTACCCTAACTTTCACAAACATGTCTCTTTAAACATCTCCAAGACTTTCTTGTAGTAATTTTTAATCTCAACAAGAG